CAGGTACCTATTCCTGTGATTCCAGGTTGATCAGATTCTGCCAAGACTGGTCTTTGGCGGCCTTCTCTTGTTGCACAGTAGTTTGGGCTGTCATGACTTGCACGTGGGCAAAGCAATGTATGTCTCTGTCATTCGGTGCAGCTGCAAGTCATTTGTACCGAGTTCGTGAAGCGATGCAGCTAGGCCGTACGGCTAAACTTATTTCAAGCACAGTTGGTGCTGTTTTGTGAGCGCATTTAAGCGCCCGATATGTCCTAGGGTGTCATGTTGGAAGGTTGGAATGTTGAGAGAGACTTGGACTGCTCAGTGAACATGATTTGCGTCTTTCTTGCAGTTCACCCTAGGGAACGTCGATGTACAGATTGCCAGCGCTTTCATTCACCCGTTGGCCTCGCCACTCCGTCGCTTTGCACCTGGTGGTCCCGTCCGCCGTTTAGAAAAAGAGCACCTGTTGCAGACCTCTTTTCTCCTTTGCCTCAACTTGTTTCAAGCTTCTGTCTCGTCTCAAGATTTCTGCAGTCTCATTTCAGTCAATTTTTTGAGTAAGCATGCTCATCTATTCTTGCTGCTCCAGGATGTTATCGCCCCCCCCCCCAAAGCCATTAGGAGACCCAAGGGCCAGGCTGCGGTGGTGATGCCATTCATGCTTCGTGACTTGGAGGTGCAGATTCAGCAGCTATAGGAATCAAGGAAACAACCGATGGCAGGCTCTCTCTTGGCTGCATTTCTGGTCGGCGCAGGTTGTTTGAGGCACAAACACCTGCTTCGTTGTCCCCACCGTGTCACGGATTCCTTATGATACCTGTCATAATCCTCCTATATAACCATTACATAAGCCCTATATATCTTAGTAGTTATGGGCTGCTTAGCGGGCGTCTTCATGTCAGAACTGTTCTATTTCAGGGTGATATACGGGTTTCTCAAAAACGTGGCCCTAGGGAACCCAAGGGATCTATAGGGGTTATAAAGGGATTCTAGTGTTTCTTATTGGGGATTCTTTTTATGATACACATATACGAGTTCATTTTATGACACATACGAGTTCATCTAATTTTTGACATAAAATCCCTCAACGGGACCCGTGTTATCCCCGTACAATCCCTGTATATCCGATTTCAAAAATCCTTCCGTTTTTTTGGTGGCATTCCCATATCATAGTCCTCTAACATACCAGAGTTTTTGCAATTAATGTTCCATTTTCTTGTCCATCTCGTTCACCATCCCCTCCCTCCCCCCAAATATACCCATTCTATACTCCATAAACCCTACACCCAGTATACGAGCCCATAACCCCCTGAACATCCAGTTTGGAAATTTACAGGATTCAACGAGGGTAGTTGGCGGCCAAAGATGATGCTAGTTTAGTTTTTTCATTTCAAGGGTTTTCCTAGTCTAATGTATTCATTTAGGCTTCTACAGTAGCACTTCACCGGCAACCCTGATGCCCAAGCCTCACCTCGAAGGTACGGAGCAGGGCCTGTCTAGCCACCAGCGGCAGGTAGACAATCCAGGCGCCGTTGAGGGTTCCAGTGTTCAAGCTGAGGGTTTAAGGTTGAGGATCTAGTTCTTAGGGTTTGAGGATTGTGAATATCGGGTAAGATCTTTCAGTTTGAGGTGTAGGGTTGTAGGTCATTTGTTCAGCGAGTCTGTGGCCTTGGCAGAGGGAAAGAAGGGTTCATGCTTGTCAGCAGCCTTGGGGTGATCTTCCTGGCAGACGGGGTGTGCAGTTTAAAGTTTAGGTCTTGAAGTTCGAGGTATCGATTTGCGGTTCTGCCGTAGTGCTGTGTGCCAGGAAGGTGGATAGGTTCGGTTTATGGTTCGAAGTTCCAGAAATCATGCATGATTTAGCATCCGGCCTTGTTGTTCGGGTTGTTCGTACGGCTAGCTTTAGCGTTGAACAAGCACCACAGAGTCAAAGGCAATGGCCACAGGAGAATCTACAGGAGACTCCTAGGGTTCCTCACTGGGATGGCTCGGCGCCTCATGCTCTTCTGCCGACCCCAATCCACGTCCTCAGCACTCTTCCTGACAGGCTTCCTTATACACTTGGGTTCGTGATCTGAGGTTTCAATGAATACTCGTCGGGACATGGGATTTTGGCAGGAGGGAACCCTACGTTACTGCAAAAGGTGTGGTAGGGATGGAAAAACACCCTTGGTGTGGGGTCCCCCCCTAGTGTGCCAAACCAACATGGTGTATGGGCCCCTGTGGCGCCTCTTAGAATGCCTTCCGGTAAGGGAATCGAAGTTATGCACTCGCAGCCCACTCCAGTTCGTGCCCAGAGGCCTGATGTGAGGGTCGAAACCCTGAGAGTGTGGAATGTCCAGCTCTGTCTAGCTCTAGCCCGAGCCCAAGATGGTCCCATTTCACATGCGTGCTTCAGAGGGAGAGGGAGCTCTATCAGGATGTCGCAGTGTTTTAGTTTCAAGTGCGGCCTGCAACCGGGCCACCCTCTAGGAGACGGGTTTACCCTCCAGGGAGCTTCGCAATGGCCATTGAGAAGATCGAGAAGATCGCCATCATCACCGGCGGAGGTGACTGCGGAGGGCTCAATGCGGTGATCAAGGGTGCGGCCATGATGGCCTACAAAAAGGGAATTAAGGCCTACGTGATTCCCAACGGCTATGCAGGCTTGTACAACCTGGTGAACATGGATACGTTGGTGCAGCTCACGCCTGAGCGGCTGGATCCAGTGTCTGTGGGCATGGCAGGCTCCGAAGCTGGCCATTCGCGGGTGAAGATTGCCAAGATTAAGGACCCCAATAAGTATGACACCGTGAAGGCAGGTCTGCAGAAATTTGGGATCGATGCCCTTGTGATCAGTGGAGGCGACGACACTGGCACCATCATGCTGGACCTGATCAAGAACGGGATCAAGTGCATCCATGCCCCAAAGACTATGGACCTCGATCTCATGTCCTACAGTGTCGGAGCCGACTCCACGATCAACCGCATTCGTGAATTCGTCCGGGATCTCTCCACCACTGGCAGAACGCACAACCGCATCCTCGTCGTTGAGGTCTTCGGCC